AGGAGCAAACAACATATGTTCTTGAACATCTGTGTTCTTCCCAAGCTATTTTTTTTTTCCATTATTGTCAAGAGAAAAGAAGTTTAGTGGAATGTTTCTCCACAGAGGCACAAGTCTGTAATACTCCCTGTTGATTACATATAAAAGACACAAAATATTAGTTTATTAAAAGCAGCTTCAACCACTGCTGTACAAAGCAGTTCTCTGATGGAACAGATTTATGAAGTAACAGCTGAAAGGTATGCAGATCACAAGATACATGACAAATGTACTTTATTACACGGATCAGAAATACCATATGTACTAGCAGTTACTGTACAGTGATACACAACACCCAACTAAGACTATTTAAAGGTTTTGCCGATATTGAAAACTATAAAGACACAATGTGAGAGTGAGAAAGTGTTTCATAAGATAGCAGAATGCCAAGACAATTCATCGCTTTAGGAAATTAAATATACTCTGCATATTATAAACTTAATGTATTATAAAACAATGCCATTCTTTAAATTAAAATGCGAAGGACTTCACCCTATTCATTGTTTAAAGCAGATGTTTATAACATTTTTCCATACTTTAAAGCGGAACTTGGAATGAATACCAGACTTAACGACATTAACAAATTTAAGGAGATTTCAGATTTTGTTATTTCCGCCAAAAAGATACTTAAGTCTGCAATCATGGAGCGCCAAAAAATTAAAAAAGGGCAAAATAAGTACAGTATATTTCAAAGTGAACAACTTCCTGCAAGGCACTCCTTGGCTGGAAGACTTAGCCAGCCTTCCACTGAAATTCCAAGTATAATATTTGGGTCCATTCTGCCACATTCCAACCAAGTGGCTGTCCAGCATTACCTCGATAGGATAGTCCTCCCAAGGCTACTTGTCTCATCTCTCAACAAACATCTTAGTTAGAAGGCTCTTCCTTAAGACTGAATCGAAACCAGTCTCTGAAGCATACCACCAGAGACATTCATTCTACACACACAGCCTTGATCACAGTTTAAGAGTTGAATAGCTTTGGGCAAGTTTACTTACCTCTCCGAAGTTGGTTCCTCCTCTGCAAACAGGGATTCTAAGAGTGTTGATCTCAGTTATTGTCTCAGGGATTAAATGAAATGGTATAGGTAAAGAATTTAACACATTAAGCAATCTCTAAATGTTGGCTGTTGTCACTAATATCCTAGGAAATTAGGCTTCCCAGGTGGTTCATGGGTAAGAATCTTCCTGCCAATGTAGGAGACGCGGGTTTGATCCCTGGGTCAGGAAGATGCCTAGAAGGAGGAAATGGCAACCCACTCCAGTATTCTTGCCTGGGAAATCCCATGGACAGAGAAGCCTGGTGGGCTACAGTCCATGGGGTTGCAAAGAGTTGGACACAACTAAGCATGCACGCGCCTTTTTTTCCTGCTCTAAAACATGTGTAGGAGACTCCCGGCATTCAACTGTGTAAAGTTTAGGGGGTTTTATAAGCAGGCACAAAACTGGCCTCGGCCTTCCTGCTACCTGATGGGACCCTAGGAATACCAGAGTGGCGTTAAATTGGCATGAGGATTTAACAGTTCCCTAATACCCCTCACGGACAGAAGAGTTTGGCAGGTTACAGTCCATGGGGTCTCAAAAGAACCAGACATAATTTAGCAACTAAACAACAATCCCCCTAAACATTTTCTTGTTAAACTGGTATGCACCTAATGCAATGGAGTTTTTCTATTCTGGCAAATACAGAGAAAAAGCATGATATTTTGTGCTCGGCATGAATGTGAATGTGAATCACTCTGCCAAGTGGCATCAGAAGTCAGTCTCTCAGCTCGTAAGCTTAGTCAACAACCTACCATCTGCATCTCAGTTATAGTATTTAAATATGTGGGAATTCCCTGAAGTCTCTTTAGATTCTTCCTATTCTATTTGTGGCTACCATTTCACTTCAATACTCCTACACATTACCCTTCACCATCAACACACTCCAGATATTTAACACACATTTCAGATATTTAAAACAAGTCATTTATAGCCCATTACTGCTTTCTGTAACTCCTAAAAATCATATCCCAGATATACTGACCCAAATTTTGAAAATATCCAGATTTCCTCATAAGCAAATATATTCTGCTATCTATTTATTCTAGGCAGCATGTGAACTAGTAATAGGGAAATGTATATAAAATGACATTAGAGGAAGAGATGTAGTCAAAACCACTTGATTCTACCTTACAGCTTCAACTGCAGTTTACATTTCTTCTCTGATCAGTAAGTAGCTTGAGTACCAATGAGTGTGGGCTATACCATTGGGTCAACCCATTCTAAGGGTGTGCTACTAAAGGAATACCAGTCTGGTTTAGACCTGGAGATTTTGAGATTTGAGAAGAGGTCTATACATCATTTCTCTACTGAAACCTGCTCTTTATCTGAGCTTGAATACCCTAAATGGACCCATGAAAAGTATTCTATCCTAAAACTACTTTTTTTCTTAGCGAGAGTTTGCACACCCTTAAGAGGCAGAATGGCATTATAAGAGGATAGGCTCTGGTGCTTGACTGTCTGAATTTGAGTCCCAGCTATATGGTCTGTCTGCTTCAGTTTCCACTGGTGTATATAGAGCGAATAGGATTGCTCTTATTGCTGTCACTATTATTGCTCACAGGATTGCTGGGAAGATTAAATGAGTTAATACTTGCAAGATTTTAGGACTAAATGACTAAGGCCTGATATGCAATCAATAAATGAAAGCAATTTTGATTGTCCTTAGATAATATTTTAATTTTAAACTTGATTTCTTAAAAAACAAAAATAAAATGTCACATTAAATCCCTAATGTGATTTAGCCCACTCAATCTCATTTCAAGAAAAAGGTTTGGTGCTTAGCTTGAGCTCCATCTGGTGGTTTTACAGAATTCTCTGAAAGACATCAGTCAAAAAGATGACAAAAAGCTAAGCTAAATCATTTAAGGGATTAGAGGACTTTGCTATACTTCCTAATTTACAACCTTTAGGAGAAAAGCAATAAAGAAGTGATCACACGCTGTCCCTAATTCAGAATGCTACAGCTCCCACCAAAATTTGTTGGTAGCAAAAATCCTGCTGACCACACAGTTCAGGAACTCACTGACCTTAGAGGCACCCATCACAAGCTCTGCCAGTTTTTGATAGCCAACTTGTCAGAGGACATAGGACTCTTGAGAACGTATTTCTCAAATACATCTTTATAGTATTTTGATTCTGTTAACCTTTATGTAAAATCCTGACTGTACAAACTTCTTGAGTAGACAAACGTTAAGTGAACAGCCTAACATCACTGAAAGGCCCTGGATGAAAAAAAGCTACTGTCTACCGTTGGGAATCAAACTAGAGATTATCAGTCTCAAAAAACATGAACAAATACTTGGCACTGGCCTCTAACCTCCAAGTTAAAGAAAATCTGGCAGAAACATACCTGACAATGCTGCTTAATTTTAAATAAACACCAAGTGTGTATGATGGGGGAAAAGAGTAAACAACTTAGCTGGTATATTTATGCTGATATTGTCATGGCTTAAACAGACAATATTAGTGACTTATTTCATGAATTAACATTTATGTATTTCCTGTTCCTCACAAACTCTGTTGTTCAAAATTACACCAAAAGGCAAAAAAAGGCCATGAACTTTTTTGAACTTTTCAACTCACATCTTCTATTAGCTTAAGTATTTAAAAATAACCCACTCTTTGGTGAACTAGCCACTGAGTAGATTGAGAAGTTTATTATATAAAATGATCCTAAGACTTTACTAGCGTTAAATTTCAGCTTCACATCTCCTAAAAGATTTGGGCTGTGTCCTTTTTATTTCTATATTGTGCCCCAGCCTAGCAACGTGCCCAGTATATTTGTGTCTTTATGATTAAGTGACTATTCTAATAGGTCTCACTTTTAACTTGGTTTTCCTAAGATGCTAACAGCCTCTTCTGAGGGCGAACACCTTGCCTTGTTCCCTGGGTCCCTAACACCTAGAAGTCTGCTAGATTTCTACATGACCACATAGGCAGACCTCATTTTATTGCACTTTGCAGGTTTGTGGCAACCCTCTGTCAAATAAGCCTATCAGTGCCATTTTTCCAACAGCATTATTTTTTTAAGGTATATTTTTAAACATAAAAGACTGCTGCCAAATAGGCTAGTATAAACATAATTTTTATATGCACTAGCAAACCAGAAAGCTCATGTGGTTCCCTTTATTGTGGTGGTTTGGAACAATGTGCAGTACCTCCAAGATATGCTGTCCTAAGCTAATATTTTCTTTGAATCTTCAAGAATGTAGCACTTCCCAAACTGATGTGACCATGTAATGTATTTTTTTCACAATACATCCAGAAAATCTGAGAACTATACTCTGAGAATAATATAAAAATTGAAGAACATTAAACTAGTTCCCAGGATGTTTAAATCTTCTGAAAAGATGGAACACACTAATTTGTACATGTCAATATTCTACCTAAAAATTTAAGTTTTAAAAATTGAAGTGAAGAATCTGGTCTTCTCCACTATTAGGAAACTTTAAGGATATATTAAAGGACAGATCTTCAGGATCTAGATGTATCTTTTATTCTGAATTATACAAAATCAAAACTCCAAATAAGTACTAATTATATGATCCACTGACATATTTTTCAAGTGATAACAACAGTTTACTTTAAATCTGAGTTAGCTCAAATTTGTCAGCATGATGTCATATTTTACTTTGTCTAAGACCAAACAATTACAACTGTATTAACACTTGAGAGAATCCCGCTGTCTGATAATCCCCGAAGAGAGGACAACATGCAATTAAAATATCAGTGTACTTTCACTCATCAAATACAATATTTTATTCAAGTTACCAAATTTGAGGAGTTATGCTGGGCTTGAATTGAAGAAAAAGGCCAAGTTAAAAAAATGGAAATAAAGTTTTCACTTGGTGGAAGCTGAAATCCACGTATGCTCTCTGATCAATTCGCCCTGTGTGGCATTTTCCGAGTTTTCAGAGTCTACCAGGTCAAACCCTTGGCTGCCTTCAAGGCTTTTACTTTGCTTTTCCCCTTCTTTTTCTCACGTTTTGCTTTCAGTCTTTTCCTTTGCCTCTGGTTCATCCATATGGGGTACTGCCCATGCTGGTCCAGAAGAGTCTTTTTGTTTCTCTTATTATCAGTCTCCATCTTCATGTCATCTGAATAAAAAATGGAAAAGCTATTAATACTCACAAATGAAGAAACAGCCCCATGATAAAGCACATTAATGTGATGAGGACACTGAATTTAAAAGTGGTACGCAACTACAAAAGCAAAAAAGTACACATCCTTTATTTGTGCAATGCTCTTTGAGTAATACTCAAAAAACACTCCTTACAGCACATTCAGGAGAATCACACACATGCCAAGCGTTCCCACAACCATGAAAGACAGAAAAACTATCTGTGAGGAACTAGAAACATCATCTATTTAATCACTAAGAAACTTTCTAAAGAAGGTTGGTATGCAATCCAATCAAAAAATAGGCAAAGACTAAAAGAGACATTTTTCCAAAGAAATACACATGGCCAATAAGCACATGAAAAGATGTTCACATTGCTAATTATTAGAGAAATGCAGATCAAAACTACAGTGAGGTACCACCTCACACTGGTCGTGGTCATCATTATAAAGTCTACACATAACAATGATGGAGAGAGTGTGGAGAAAAAGGAGCCCTCCTACACTGCTGGTAGGAATGTAGGTTGGTGCAGCCACTGTGGAAAACAGTATGGAGGTTCCTCAGAAAACTGAAAATAGAATTACCATACAATCCAGCAATCCACTCCTGGGCATACGTCCAGACAAAACTGTAATTCAAAAAGATACATGCACCTCTATGTTTGCAGCAGCACTATTTACAACAGCCAAGACATGGAAAGAACCTAAATGTCCATCAACAGATGAATGGATAAAGAAGATGTGGTACATATATACAATTGAAAACTACTCAGCCATAAAAAAAGAATGCAATAATGCCATCTGCAGCAATATGGATACAACCAGAGATTATCATACTAAATGAAGTAAGTCAGACAAAGACATGCATGATATCACTCATGAGTGGACTCTGAAATATGACAAAAATGAATCTATCTATAAAACAGAAACAGAATCAGGGCTACTGAGAATAAACTGGTGGTTGCCAAGGGGGAGGGCAGCAGGAGAGGGCTGGATTGGGAGTTTGGGATTAGCAGATACAAACACACATATATAGAATGGATAACCAACAAGGTCCTACTGTATAACATATGGAATTATATTCAACATTCTGTGATAAACCACAATGGAAAAGAATGTTAAAAGATCACTTTTGCTATATAGCAGTAATTAACATAACATTGCAATTAAACTACATTTCAACTATACTTCAGTAAAAAATAAATTTAAAAAAGAGAACAGTTACCATTGTCCTTACGAAAGTAAAAGTTAAATAGAAACATTTAGGAGATACGGATTTGAATTACTGCATTAGGGGTAAGTATATGGTTCTGAAAACATGTGAGTTAAAAGAACACTTCTCAGATTAGTTGCTTTCTTGAGCTAACTAAAATAGTTGCGTCAATAAGTACACTCACCCTTCTAACAGACAGGCCTTAAGAAGAAAATAAACTGTTAGGAATGACTGGTCACTTTCACTGAAGTGTACCTGAAAGAGGTTCAGTAGCAAGCAGCAAGCTTCTAATGACAGAGCAGACCTGATACCCTGGGCTGAACACTTCTTTATCCAGGTCACACTCAAGGCATCCAGCTCTTCAAACAGGAAGCTCAGCACTGCAACCCTGTGGTCCAGCTATCACCAACCTTATCTATTGTGGAGGACATGTCCAGAATGTCCTCCTCTGGGAACTCACCAGGGTATACAGGTCTTCCATGAACTCTGCTACCTGACATTATATTAGTTCATCTGTCTCGTTTACTGTCTGTCTCCTCCAATGTGATGTGAATCCCATTAGGATGGAGACCACTTCTGTTATTCATCATTGTTGCCTCAGGACCTAGAACAGTGCCTGATATATATTAGCCATTCAATGACCGGTCAGCGAATGTTTATTCTCGGTGCGGTTCTAGGGATACAGTGGTCCAAATAAGCTTTACCCTCATGGACTTCTCAATGTTCTGTTGAGGGGAGAATAACAAAGCAAACTTCAGCCTGTGGTTAGAACCTTTTCAAAGGGAAGTACTGGAATGAGATTAAGTAGGACCAGGCAGGCTGTGGTAAGCACATGGAAAGATAATGAGGTGATAGAAGCATGGGAGTGACATAATTGATCTATACCCTGAAAAGATCATACTGGGTGATGTGACAAAAACGGGTCAGAAATGAGCAAAAGCTGAGACAGAAGTAAAATGGCTACAACTGTGGTTCAGGCAAGAGATAACTGTCATTAAAGTAAAAGCATGAAAGCAGAAGAAAAATGGATAGATTCCTAATGCATTTTGGAGATAGTCAAGATGTGCTGATGGTTTACAGGTGGGTGATAAAGGAACGAGAGACCAGGGATAATGACTATTATATAGACATTATATACATATATCATACAGAATATACATATAATATATATACAATATATAGTACATTTATTATGTATAATACATATACCTATTATATAATGACATGTCATATACAGCCTCCAACTTCAGACTACATTAAAACAGAGCACCCAGAATCTGTCAAAATCAAATACAGGGAAAGAGATCTTTAAGGTACTAAAGACAGAGGACTCTCAGAATGGAACCTAGATCATGCAAAGCGTAAAATGAGAACTCCTTCTATCCTGCCTAGCTCTTGATTCCTCTGTACCCTTCCAACAAGCGTGTGTCTAGGCTTGTCTATTCCCACAGCACTGTCTATTTCTGAGACACTTAGGCTATTGTAATGGCTTCCCTAGGGGCTCAGACAGTAAAGCGTCTGTGCACAATGTGGGGAGACCTGGGTTCAATCCCTGGGTTGGGAAGATCCCCTGGAGAAGGAAATGGCAACCCACTCCAGTACCCTTGCCATGGAAAATCCCACAGACGGGAGAACTGGTAGGCTACAGTCCATGGGGTCGCAAAGCGTCGGACCCGACTAAGCGACTTCACTTCACCTAGGCTATTGTATAAGCACCAAAGGCTCTGAATAATCCAAAACATGCTTACTCACATGAACTGGCTTTAAACTAGCTTAGCATAGAATCTCTAGTAGCAGCTACAAAAAATTATGTGGCATGGCACGTTTGTAGAGAAGCAAGTGTGAGAAAGAATGGAAGATGGTTGAAAAGGAAAAAGTCACAAAGGGAAGTTTGATATAATGTTTAAAAATTTTTTTAAAAAACATAATCTCACCTGTTTCATCTTTCACCACACACTGCGTTTTCTCTTGACAATGTTTGGGTTCCACCACAGTTGCTATCTCTTGAACATCTTTCATTAAAACATCACCATCTATTTTAAGAATACTTTTAAGTCTGCTGAGCTCCTTTGGGGCATTCTTTTTTCTCTTTTCAGCACGCATCTTCCTTTTCCACTTGCTCCGTAAACTTTTAGCCATATTTTACCTGGAAAGTTCACAAAATTACATTTTCAAAAGCAACTATTTACTATCAAAAAAAAAAAAAAGGCAAATCTTTGGAAAACCAAGTCAAAAGGTATCTCTGCACCACATGAACAACTGGAAAGTAAACTCTTCACTCTGCCCATGGATTATGATGGCATAATGTGCAAATTATGTGAGGCTCAATAAGGCATATACAGCCACTAAATAACAATTAAATCACCAAATCCGACAGCCACTAAATAACGAAAATACCAAACCAAACTCCCTGTGGCCAGTGGCACTGTACTGTATGTCAGCCAATTCTGAAAGCTCCTATAGTTTTCATACGAGATGTAGAAATTTAACCATACATGATGTAGAAATTTAACCATACATGGTGTAGAAATTTAATTTCCTCCAAAACACGAAGAGCACCGTCTCCTTACATTCATGTAACAACTTACAAAATATTTTAACTGCATCTTAATTTCCCGCAAACCTACAGGTGATCTTACCCATCCCAAGTTCCCTCATTATCCAACCTCTTAAGTCACTCTAGGTATTTCAAGGGGTTCCCTTGTAGCTCAGCTGATAAAGAGTCTGCCTGCAATGCAGGAGACACGGGTTTGATCCCTGGGTCAGGAAGATCCCCTGGAGAAGGAAATGGCAACCCACTCCAGTATTCCTGCCTGGAGAATCCCAAGAACAGAGGAGCCTGGCAGTCTACACTCCTTGGGGTCGCAAGAGTAGGACATGACTTAGTGACTAAACCAGCAGGTATTTCAAACTTGTGTATTTCTATTCTTGATTTCTCTCCACCCCTTAGGCCCAGCCTGTCCCCCACAGACTAGTCAATGTGAGCTTTTAAAAACTTGAAGAGCATATATAGTCTTTCTTGAAATTAACGATTTTCCACCTCACGTATTCAAAATCTACAAGGTTATTTGTGACATGGCCCCTGCCTCCTTCAACTCCTATCTCCTATGCTCCACCCCTCCACAATTATATCTGAAAATAGCCTAATCAATGACAACCAAGGGACAGTGTGGGAATGTGAAGAGGGTTGGGAAGTGATTGCAGAGATTATTAAGAGTTTAGAGGGAAACTTGTAGGTATGACTTATAACATCATCTTAATTGTGCCGACAGATTTGCGTTTGTCTGTGTATATATATTTCAAAATATTCTACACACTTTATGCGCAGTTTGTTGTGATAATTACACATCAATAAAGCAGTTAAATAAATGAAGACATTATTTTGAAAAAAGAGAGAGAAGTGTCCAAATGACGTTGACTTCAGTATCTTTACATTTGTCCTTCTTTTGCCTAGGAACTAATCCTTCAGTACCTCGGAAAGGGTTTTTCTGACCTCTGTAAGCTCGCCTCCTTTTATTCTCTACATCATTCTTTTCTTTCCTTCCTAATACGTGTTACAATCTAAAATTGTTTATTTTCTGTCATTCCCGGTGGTCTGTGGTCTATTTATCCACGAAGGCAGTGTATAAATAGATCTTGTTCACTGCTGGATGCCCCAGTGCGTAGCGCTGTGCACAAAGTTTAAGCAAACACTCGTTGAACGGATGACTGGTGGAGTTAACATTTCTTGACGCCAGCAATCACAAACTCACTCTGTCTTCCTGTGCACAACTCAAGCCCTGCGAGGGGCAGGAAGAAAAAGGTTACGGAACACAACTCTGAGGGCCGGGGTTAACCTGAGCTGGGCTGAAGGAGGAATCCACTTCCCACAGAGCACTGGGAAGCCCGACCAGAGCCGCCAAGACGACGGGAGACCCTAGGTGAAGCCCGCCTCTCTGGACAGGGCTCAAGCTTGCCCAGAGAGGGACAAGATTTGAGAGGAGATTCTCCATAGGCGGCGGAATCAAGTACCACGGCCCACGCCTCACTAAAGCTATGCGGTAAAGAACTCACCCACGAAAACCCAGGAATTCAAGTAACGCACGATGCTCAAGCCGACCGGAATTCTCTGCACTTCCGCCTTCCGGCCAACCCTCCGCTCTGGCCCGCCCCTCCCGGGTGGCGCGCTGCTTGCCGGGAGCCAAAACGTCCCGGATTTCCTGGAGAGGTGGGTCCTCTGGAGCCCGAAGGTGACGCGCTTCCTGATATTTGGGTAAATTCCGCACCGGGAGCTGGGCTCCTCCCAGATAGATTCTGAAGTTGATTTTGGAGAATGCGACGGAGTACCCGAGTCAAGGGTTCTTGACACAGGCCAGGCCTGAGTCCTGAGCGTGAGCGGGATAGCCCTGAGACTATAACCCACGGAGGGATAACCGCCAGACGACTTTGCCCGTCACGTAGGGAGCTCAGAGACGACCTTTAGGTCGCGCCCTGTCGCGCCTCCCCGTTCGCAAGACCTTCACCACTGTGATCTGTTCTTTTAGATGCCAAATTAAGATCATCTTTATTTGCAGCCCTTAAACTTCCCCATCCCAACTGATGGCTTCATCGTTGTACACGTCAAAACTTGTCAAACTATATCCTTCAAATACGAGCAATTCATTGTATGTCAGTTATACTTCAAAGCTGTTGCGAAAAACAAAAACCCCCTTTTCATCCCAAATACAAGTTCAAAGGGTAAAATGATCAAACTAATTCAGTTCAACTCACGTTTCCCTGACTAATCACTTAGTGTATACCAGACACAGTGCTTAGCCTAGGACACTTGGCGTAGGTGGTGGTCACATTGATCACAAATACCATCAGTTCTTTTTATGATTGCTTTACATGTGTTTCTGATAGTATTGGCTTTGGAACCGTACAGGTCTGTGGTATTTATGGTTCTAACACTTCTTGTGAGTGATATAAATAATATCTCAGAGCCTGGACTTCCTTATCTATAGAATGAAGCTAATACAACCTAATAATCATAGGGGATATAAGCGTTCAACAAATGGCCACTGTTTATAATTTTTACATAATAAATTCAAACATACACAGAACTATTTGCAAGCAGTATTTTCCAGAGATTTACAACATATACCTAAAACCAAGAAATAAATTCTATAATCATAGCCTAGTAAACTGTCAGGTTACTTATAAGAGTTCTAAGAATTAATGGGTACCTTTTTTTCTTTAAATTTGCACCCTTGAAGAAACTGTGCATCATATGAAGTTACTAAACTCCATATGTATACAGCAAGGTTTTTTTATGGAACAGAAGCTGGGAAAAGCTCATAACATATGGTATTTTAAAAACAAAAAGCCTTGAAAAACTTGCTTTCTTTAGAGATTAAATTCCTTCACAGCAATTGGATTTCTATAATCAAGTTAACTATATATTAGATCTTAGCCACCTCTCCCAAAACTAATGTTCACATTGCATTTTAAATTAGAACTCACTTTCAGACAGTCCAAATTGACAGCACCTTGCTTAACATACCAGGCCAAGACTTTTGAATAGATACTTGGCACAAAAAAGATTTTTAAAAAAATTATGTTATGAAAATGTCATGGTGTTAAATATATGCCATAATTCTGCACAACTGGTGCTTTAAAAGGTTGAATCCTAGATTACATTGGGCTTCCCTGGCCCTCAGCTGGTCAAGAATCCACCTGCAATGCGAGAGACCTGGGTTTGACTCCTTGGGTTGGGAAGATCCCCTAGAAAAGGGAACGGCTACCGGCTTCAGTATTCTGGTCTGGAAAATTCCATGGATTATCCATGGGGTCACAAAGAGTCGGACATGACTGAGCGACTTTCACTTTCACTAGACTGCATTATTGAGGGAATAATTTTTTTAACATGTTCCTCATCAGTTCATATAAAAGCAGTTCCAACAGAAGAGTTAAATGGCCTTGGTATACTTAAAAATCCTTAATTCATTCCCTCATTCATACATTTGAGTATGCATTCTGTGACAGGCGCTGTGCTGGCTATACAAAGATGCTGCTGCTGCTGCTAAGTCGCTTCAGTCGCGTCCAACTCTGCGACCCCACAGAGCGCCCCCAGGATCCCCCGTCCCTGGGATTCTCCAGGCAAGAACACTGGAGTGGGTTGCCATTTCCTTCTCCAATGCATGAAAGTGAAAAGTGAAAGGGAAGTTGCTCAGTCATGCCCGACTCTCAGCGACCCCATGGACTGCAGCCCACCAGGCTCCTCCATCCATGGGATTTCCCAGGCAAGAGCACTGGAGTGCGTTGCCATTGCCTTCTCTGATACAAAGATGATGGGAACCAAACTACTGTCTTTAAGAAACTTTAACCCCTGATGTGATAATGTTTAAGGATCAAACTGGACATTGCTTCATCTCCATTACAGAGCCAGAAAGAGCCTATGGGATGGGAGGCACTGGAGCACCTGGTAAGCAGAATGGTTTCCATCTCAAAGCCCTGCTACACCACCAGCACCAGCTAATGGTGCCTCCGCACTCAGACCTCACCTGTGGGACTCCTGCTCTGACTGTCACTTAGGAAGGACTAGGAAGACTTAAAAGGATTCAAATGGTAACTCCTTGTTCCCCAGGTACTAGGTGACAGGAATTTCAAAACACAGCTTCACAAAGAGAACAGCAGAAAGAAGCTAACTTCCTAGCTGCTCCAAAAAGACCCACAACCGACTGCTGACACCACTAATCCCAAGAAGTGGATCAAGTGGATAAAAGCCAGGTGTGAGATCTACAGAAAAGAAATGAACGTGGGCAGAAGGGCCTACTGCACTTCTTCCCCCAAATTATATTCAATAAAAACAGTTCTCAGATACTGCTCTTTCCTATTTTCCTCCTACTTCCCCACTGTACTTTATACATTCAGGTGCCTGTCACAGTCCTGCTAATGCCACTTTCTTATTCTTTGTGCAGTCTGCATATTTTCACCTTTACTTACAGTAGTAAACTGAGGCTGCATATGCCCTTTTATCCAACAATCCCACTGATAGGTATATTCCCTACCTAGGCAAACTCTCCTATCAGTGCACACTGGGGGAAATACAGGGATGTACATGGCAGTGCTGATGGTGATAGTAAAAAAGGAGGAGCCATATAAAGTCATTGATGCAATTA